CTAGACAAGTAGTTCCATTTGATTGTCTGCATGATATCTATACAGAGGACTGTACCATCCCTTATCTAAAGGACAAGATTGATTAGATCAGAGTTGGACAGCGTCTTTGAGAGCTACGATTGCTAATTGGTGCATATAGTTACTAGAATTATCCAAGTGGGAGACTGTTGGAATAATGTCTAAAGCTGCAACTATATTTGGTAAGTACTTGACCCAATTGAGCATGAGCCTTTTGGGTTGCCTTAACCATAGCAACTTGATAGGATGATTTATAATGAGAGTTGAAATATTATATGGTATAATAATATTATTTGATTAATATAAGTCATAAATTAATTAGGAATTAATTTGGTGACTTAAAGAGATTAATTAAATAGAAGGGCTTAAACTGTCAAGTGAGTGATAGTTATACTTTAGACTATGATCCCTTATGGATAATGTGGTGGACAATTTTAGGGCTTAGGATAGACCTAAAATCCGTCCAAGGTTATCATGAAAGGGATTAGGATTGCTTAGGGCTTAAGTTATCCAATTAGAGTTAAAAGGTGAAACCTTAAGAGCCTTACAAGTATAAATAGACCCTTGGGGTCATGGAAATCGGCACTCTTGTTTCTAGAGAAACCCTGGTAGATTTAGAAGTCCCTCCCCACTCTCAAATCATCCTCTTGCTAGTTGGTGTTTGTAAGCCATTAGAGCAGTGACAATTGTGACTCTAAAGCTCCAAGAATGTCACAACTAGAAATTTTGTGTCTTGTAATCACTATACTCAAGTAAATGTTGAATTCAAAAACTCAAGAGCATGTATGATGTTTACTCAATGGTAAACTAAACCCCAATTCACTACATCAAGCAATTGGAAACCCTAGAAGTTCTTGATTAGGTCCATTTTGGACTAGGACTTCCTTATTGGACCTAAATGGACCAATAAGCTTCTAATTTGACTATCATGGGCTTAGAACCCTTAAATGGGCTCTAATTGGACCCACATCTATTTATTTCAACATTTTGGGCCATATTGGGCCTAGAATTAAATAAATTCAAAATTATGAACCATGATTAACCTAAACTAGCCCAACAAAGTGTAAAAATCATATTATATTTTTTTAGGTTAAAACTCACTCAAACTAACTCTAAAATTGGGCTTAGGGGCAAAAATCCCAAAAACCTTTTTCCTTCCCAAATTTTCGGCCCAAGACAAGCCCAAGAGGAGAAGTTGACTATTACCATGCCACCTCATTTTTATCTCTTGGTTTTCCATGTAACATGTCTCATATCTCCATGCATGTATCACTTCATGTCTATTTCTCTCTCCCTCTTCTTGTTTCGGCTGTGAGCAACACACACACACACACAAATCTCTCACAAACTCTCTCTAGATCACTCAAGACTTCTCTCTTCCTCTCCATCTAAAATCTCGAAATTTGGCTTGTGTTTCAAGAGGATTCTTCAAGATTATCATCATCCTTTCATAAGTTTTTCCATGTCTAAGCTTCAAAACTCCCCCCTTACATGAGATCTCTTATTCTAAACAAGTTTCTTTGGTGATCATACTCCTAGAAAACTCCATAAACTCGAGATCTTCATCAAGGGGTGCTAGGGCCAAAAAATCACTTCATTTCTTCCATCCTTTCTTCAAAAACCGAATCAAAACCCAAGGTGAGCTTCATACCCCCTTGTTTTCGGTTTTTATAAGTTTTGTGGGGGAGAATACAAGCAAAGGTGTAGATCCATCATTATGTGTATGTTTTGGTTGATTTCTATGCTTATATGTATGTTTTGTATGATTTTGATGCTAGATCTAGTTATGAATTGCTAAAAACCGAGATATATTTTATACTAGCATAAAATATACTACTACATGCAAAGCATACCAAGAAAAATAGCCAAATGGCTTGACAACACTTATTTTGGGCTAAAAACTCATTTTTTTGACACAAAATGTTAAAAATACAAAGTTGAAGGGCCTAAAATGAAATATTTCGAAATCTGATGGGTGAGATGAGTCAAAACAGTTTCCATAATGTATTTTCTGAAAATATACTATTTGGAGGATTAAAAGCATAAATTTCAAGCTTAATGGGCTAAAAATGACAATTTCGGCCCAATAGGGCCCATTATGCGAAATTTTCTGTTTTGGAGGGCCAAAACTATTTTTTTCTGTAAAACAATGAACCACTAGTGTCACAAGTACTTTTCAAAGGTTTAAAATGCTTTTCAAATTTAAAAAGGACCAAAGTTGCAAAAAATTTCCAATTTGGGCCAAAAATGTAAAAATTGCGAAAAAGAGGGGTTACAACCGAGAAAACTGCAATTTCAGGGACTTAAACTGTTTTCAATGAAAAATATGCTGAAAAATATTAATTTCAATAATTTTGGTGTTAAAATGTCAAGAAAAATGGTTTAAGGACTAAACCGGAAATTATTTTACCTAAAGGGGTGAAAAAGTAAATTTACAAAATAAAGAGGGGTTGTAAACAGAAAGTTTTCAATGATAATTCAATACACTCGTTGTGAACAAAGATTGACACTACGACTCTTGATGAATTACAATACACAATATCACCAACAATCGTTACCAAACGAATTGATTCGGTCTCGAATCAATAACAAATCCAAAACTACTAACACTACAACGCTCAATACACATATGGAACTCTTGGAACTCTTTACTCTCGTGGAATTACTCAATACGTCGACGTACACTCCTTAGGCCCAAAAGTTGCAAATCATGCTTGTCGAGCCTAGCTAGCCCGATGATATGATCTTTAGGCCCAAAGGACACTTGCTTACATGTAGTTGGGTCTAATACGACTCGACCGCGTGTAAAAGGACTTTCAATGGCAAACATGCTGCTGGTCCCCAAGGGTCCTTCAGTGCTGCTAGTAAAGTCGGGAACTCACGATTGCGGGTTGGGCTTCGGGCCCTTCGCAATTGCAATGGTCTTGAACGACGTAGGGAAATACCGAGGGTTTCGCACCTTCACTTTTTCTCCTCGGTCGTGGGACTACACAAGTCCGAGAGGATTGAGTTGTGTGAATAAGTGCGAGTGACGCCTAAGGGATCGCTAGTATGGTTGTCGACTGGACGTTTTCATTAACGGACGTTACAACAATTCACCACCCACTGTATACTCAATGCCTCCGGAGCTCAACGAATACCTCTAACGTAATGAAACAACAACACATAAACTAATTAAAGCAAAGTGATAGGAAAACGTTGGGTTTTCCTAGGGTTTTCAACTAGTACACTTACGAACTACATGCCGAATTTTCACAACACGTACGCTTACATCTATAGAATTCAAACAAGCATACTCACGGATCTTCACATATTTTTACGCTATACTATTTTCATAAAATATCAGATTTTCTGGTGGTTTTCAAAACAATACAAACATTGGATTTTAAACATTTCTTATGAACTCACCAACATTTCACATGTTGACGTTTTTCAAAATACTTGTATTCTCAAGTAACAGATAAGTGAAGAAAGGACTGTACTCTATGATTGTTTTGCGGTTGTTTAAGTAACAATGAACCATGTATTTTGGAATGTAATATTTTGAAACAATGTAATGGATGTAAACGCTACCAGTTGTATCATTCCAATGCTTGGTGATGTATATGTTACGTTTCATGTATATTCATTGTGATGGTATTCAATTGAGTCACAACAGCCCCCGGACGTTTCCGCCGTCTGGTTCGGGGGTGTGACAGGTTGGTATCAGAGCTTTGTTTATAGTGAACTAGCATATCTAGCCACACATTGATATGCAACTATAAACCAAAAAGACACTACTAGAAAAACAGCCTTTTACGACGCTCATTGTGCGTCGTAAAGGGCTCAGACGACGCGCAAATGCACGTCAAGGAAGGCCCTGTCATAAAGAGAGACGACGTGCTTTTGCGCGTCGTCTATAGACGACGCGCATTTACGACGCTCATTTACGACGCGCAATTACGACGCGTGTTTACGACACGCAATGCGTATCAAGAAAGGTCCTGTCATAAAGGAAGATGACACGCATTTGCGTGTCATAACCTTACGACGTGCGTGTTTATGACACGCAATGCGTATCAAGAATGCCCTTGTCAAGAAAGGCCATGTCAGAAATGAAGATGACACACATTTTTGCGTATCGTAAATTTAAATGTTTAAAAAAAAATAAATTTATATATTTATTAATATTTAAATTAAATTTTCATTTAATTTCTCATAATATAAATAAAATACCATATACAAAAAATACAATCCATTGCATAATATAAAATAAAATTTCATACTCAAAAAATAAAATAAATTGCACAAATTATAATGTCATACAAAGAATCATTCAAATGTTAAACAAAAATAATACATTGCTAACATGGGTTATACATTCCTATAAAACTAACAAATAATCATACAACTCTGTTTCTTACCAGAAACATTTCATGTTATTTGTTTCTGCCAACGCCTTGTGTGTGTACCACCTGCTTAATGTGTACTAGAAAGGAATGCCAAACATGATTACAAGTCTCCCTTAATCTTGATTACTCACCTGCTTAAGTAGAATGTTGTTGTTGAGAAGGTTACCTAGCAACAGAGAAAAACACAACACCTCTTCCAGCAATAATGTCCATAATGAGTGTAGCCATTTGAGACATGAGGACCATAGGGTAAACTCCCAATTCCATCAGTTCTCTGGCTCTTTTCACAGTTTCAGTTGTGTTTGATGAGATTGCTAACTCCAGAAGTTCCAATAAATTCTCATCAGAGACAACTCCTACCTACAATCAACTCCAAAAGAATTAGTAAAAAGTTTGAATAAAAAGTTACATGGATCAAGAAACCAGTAGATTAGATACTTTCAAGTTCATTTCCAGCCTCTAAAGCGTCTGCATCTTTTTCATTACTTTGATTTACATCATCACCATGTGCATTTTCTTCCATCACTATATCACCATGTGTTGTATTAAAGGGGCTTGTCAGTTGATCACCCCCAAGTTTTACAAACTCGTTTATCTGCATAAATTTAATAAAAAATTGCAAGAATTCTCAAAAAAATCTCATTACAATGTGCAACTAAATTTAAAAAAAAAAGGAAAAAAAAAAAAAGACTTACCCATGTGATTGCAGTTCAACGGGTGAATTCATCAGGGGAATATGCTCTTTGTACAAGTATTTCTGCCATGCGACCGTAATCTACAGACTTCATCAGTACCACTCCTAAAGTCAGAAATTTACAAATAAATGACAAAATTTGCTACTAAAAAATATGAGGTTTAATAAATATATTACATATACAAAAGTTAGATAGAGATACCTCAAATATCAAGTCCTTTCTGGTGATCATGCCAATCACACGAGAAGCACGTGGAACTACAAATATATGCATCAATCCTAATTGACGGAATAGATTAGGACTTTTAGTCCTTAGAATACCAGCTACATCAGCAACTTTCACCACACGAGTGAAGTAACAAACCTATCAAGTGTACAATCAATCATTACATGCAAATATCAAACACAAACGTAATGTTTGGTTATCATGGAATAGGGATGGAATGAAATTTTTTTAATAAAGAACTTTTATTTACAAAATACACAAAATTAAACATAATACAACTCATTAGAACCCAAATAAGACTTTAATATAAAAGATAACTTTCTAGTTATTTTTAGGAATAAAATTATGAATTTGTTTTCTTAATAAAAGAGATTTGTATCAGTAAAGGCTACAGGGATGCGTACTTTCATTTTATGGTTTCATCCAAGATAGCTGATGCACAACTGATAATCTTTTCCATTGGTAGTTCCCAACTGCTCAATATGTTTCCAGCCATATAATGAATGATGCGAGAATATAAATAAATGGACAAATTGCAGGAGATGTACTTTATGTCCATCCAATTACAACATTGTACTTTCTTTTGTTTCATATCAAGACATCATACTTTGAAAATTACAAACCAACTACTATTCCAGACAGTATGAAAGCAAATGACCAATTTTCCCTTTCTCCCAACAAATACCCATCAAGCTTTTCCATCATTCTTTTCCAAAATGTGAATTTTTTTTTGTGTATCTAATAAAAAAAATCTAAATGGAACTTAACAAATCTATTCTGGAACAAGAAAAAGCAGCTCACACATCGATTTCTTTTTAACTGATTAATTTTAGATAAACAAGACACTGACAATAAAAGAGAGATAATCAAAAGGAATCCATTAAAACAACAAAAACAAAATCATATATAACTCTATGTAACCGATATGATTAACAATTCATAATAATAATAATAAGATAGACAACATGAGAAGAAAAGAAACAAAAGCTTAGCAATAGACTAGACCTGAGCAGTGCCTTCAGTAAACTTAGGATCCTCACACCTGTAACTTCCATCAGGTCCAATTAATCCAAACCCTCTTGGATCTGCAAACACATTTTCCAGCAGTTGGCTTCTTGAAGGAGCAGGGCTTTCATCTACAAACTCCACAGCTTCCTCAACCACCTCATCTATCTTCTTCTTTATCGCCTTTAAATCTGCTTCACTTGCCAATTTGTTTTCAGTCAGGTATTTCTTCAATCCTGTTATTGGATCCCTTATTGCATAATGAGCCTTCTCAGCTTCAATTCACAATACAAATATACAATCACAACAAATTTCAATGTTACGTATATACAAGAGTAAAAGACTAAAAGCAACTTACCTGGGTCACGAAGCTTATCAGGATCAGCCAAAGAGTGTCCTCTGAATCTGTAAGTCTCACATTCAACCAAATTTGGGCCTTCTCCTCTCCTATCTCTCCCAATAGCCTCCTTTGCTACCTCCCTCACCTTCAACACATCCATGCCATCAACATGGACACCTGGCATCCCAAAAGATGGACCCTTCTTCTAGATTTCTAGATCTGAAGTTGAACGCAGATGGGACATCCCAATTGCCCACAGATTGTTCTCCACCACAAATATGACAGGCAATTTCCATAGAGCTGCCATGTTCAAACACTCAAAGAACTGCCCATCATTACAGGTCCCATTTTCCAAAGAATTCCAATGTCACATGATCACAATCTGCTTCTTTCAACACTTCTCTCCTATACTTGCTACTGAATGCTGCACCTGTGGCAACAGGGGATGCCTTCTCCTATAAAGGCAAGCCCTCCAAGAACATTGTATTCAGTAGAGAACATGTTCATGGATCCACCCTGACCACAGTAACACGCTGTTTTCTTCCCAAACAACTCGCTCATCATAGCACGAGCAGGCACCCCCTTGCTTAGAGCATGAACATGATCACGGTAGGTGCTCACAACACTATCCTCTTTCTTCAACAGATTGATGAACCCTGAGAAACAACTTCTTGCCCGTGGTATAAATGGACAAAACCAAACATTTCCCCCCTGTAATACATCTGAACACACATGTCCTCGAAATCTCTCCCCAATATCATGTCCTCGTATACTTCTAAACCTTCTTCTTTGGTGAGCAACTGCAGAGTAAAATACAAAAATCAATTTGTTGGATCCCATATCAAACACGGTTTTTGATCAATTAGACGTCATGCTGGTGACGGCGGGTTTATGGAATCCGGGCCTGAAGCGAAATTCACAAAAAAAATGCAAAACAAAAGAAAAATCGAATACCTAATATTTGATGTCTATTTCCTTTAGTTTGGTAATCTTGTCAAACACAGATCGAGGGTAAGTAGTTTGATGAAATAATTGTTTAAGCTCCAGGTCTGAAGCTAGAAAAGGTGTCAATTTCTCAAGAATGATAAAAGGATATAGGGAAAAGGGAGATGGGTAATAGTAAATAGTAGAAGACGGTTAAAGGCTTACACGATATGGAGGTAACCAAGAGAACAATCACCTTTAAGCTGCAATACAATTGTTTCCTCCTTTCCAACATTGTACACCTGTAAAATTTCCAATTATTTGACACAACATATTATCTAATTTCATAAATCCTGAATGAATAAGAACAAATCTTGAAAATTAGGAGTTCTAAGATACCTTAAAAGTGATAGGAAAGATGCTCTGTTTCTTGTGCTTGTGCTTGAAACTGTTAAATAGAAATGTAGAGATAAAGCCCAAAACTGAACTGGAAGCCCTAGCCTGAACACATCAATAAGAACACAATTATGAAAAACTAAAAAATCAAAAATCGAATCGGTCACCAATCAACTGCAGGTGGGTTCACTATTGAATCAATAACAAAATGAAAATGAAAATGAGGTGAACTGACATTCCTGCATAGATACATGGGGTGAGGTTCAAACTGTATGTAGGATTGGATAATGGATAATATAAGCATCATCATCATATGATATGGTATAAAAGAATGAAACCTAAGCTGTGTGTAATGAGGGTCCAGATCAACAGCTGCCCTTTGCTCTGGAGTTTTGGCCATCAAGAAACGCATTGCAATGGATAAGGTTTGACGATCAAACTGCATCAACCATTTTCACTATAGTAGATGATGATATCAGTAATCAGTCAAATATATATTATATTATTTCATTGTAAAACTGTACAGCTAGTCAGTGATGACCCAACTGCCAAAAGCTAATAAAAATTAATGAATAAATTTTATGCTTTCTAAATGAATAGATTAAGTGCCTCATCACCAGGCCTCAAGAAAGCAAACAGGGCACATGTAATGGCATGAGTGCCTGAGAAGAACTGGACTAAAGTTTGTTAAGTAAATTGAGAACCTAATAAAAATGGTGGGAAGAACAAATGAATGATTAAAAATGGAAAACCTGTTAACAAACAATTGTCGATTCAACACCAAAATTTTCTACAAAATCTTGGTCTAGGGCTTCTCTTCCACCTGCTTCCTTTCTACAAAATCTTGGTCTAGAAAAAAATTAGCTGCGAAAACAAAAGGATTTAGCAAGATAGGGTTCTGGTAGAAGAATGAAAACATAGGGAAAAAAATAAACCGAAACACACCTTAATAAGACATAGGGCTTGTAAATTAGAGCAATAGAAGAAGTAATCCTAAGGTTGTCGGACCTGATGTTTTCGGCAAGGGGAGAGGAGGTGAGATCTTGTAGTGATATTACATGAAGGTTTCTAGTTCGAATGATTTGGGCTCTGTGGAACCTTGATGCGAGGCCAATCATAAAGTATCCTAGTGCTTCGTCGCAGTGGAAGGTGCGTTATGAGTGTCGATTCGCTTAGGTGGCGAAGCAACAGCAGTGGTGAAAGTTAAAACCCTAAGTCGTTGGTTAATAGAGAACAACATTACATGCTTCCTTCTGCAGACATTTACACCAATTTCCCCTTTCGTCTCTCACTCTAGAAACCCTAATCCCTCCGCCACAATGAACACCATTACAGTTTCCATGGCGCCTTGAAAGCCCTAACCTGAATCTCTTGATCAGAAGCTACTGAACTCCTCAACCTGCACACACACGCTGACCATGCTAGATCTACCACCGGAAGCTTTTTGAAGATCGTACGTGGGATATATTTACAAATTAAAGCCGAAAAATTAGAATTCATCGGAGAGATGGTGGTATATGACATCGCCGGTAATTGATGATGCCATGGAAGAGGATGAGGGGTGTAGAATGGGGTTTGTTGTTGTTGGAGTTATTTGAAGAAGCGTATCTAGAAGGAAGCAGGTCAAGGAATAGTGCAAGAAAACTTTTGGCGAGTATTCTCAAGAACAGCAGAGAGATGAAGAAGGTGAAATTACAGCAACGATGAAGTAGATGAATGGAAATCAGAAGCCCTTTTTCTTGATTGAGATGATGAAGTCAAGAGGTGGAGATGAAATCGTAACCTTCGATCTTTGATTGAGAAGTTGCACAACAGTGTGAGGAGAATGAAAGATGCGTGAAAATGCTTAGGGCAGGGAGGGTAGCGGGCTTTTCTAATTTTTTGGCTTTTCTTTTCCCGCTTGTAACTAAGGAACACGCGTTCATTAAAATTATAAAGCGACACATATAGAGGGCGCGCATTTAAGGTACAACGCCCTCCGTGTTTTTAATTTTTTTTCTTTTAACACTAATTTAAAGGCGCGCAATAATAAGTGACCTAAATCCTTAAATTTTCTGAAGAGATGACCCTTTTTTAATGTCACTCTCGTTTGCGTAACATAAATTAATGAGTGTCGTAATTTGCGCGTCGTAAAAGGCTATTTTTCTAGTAGTGAGAGGGACTAACATAACTCTGAACAAAACAAGTAAATAAAACACCCTTGCTTGCATTAGGAATAGGAACATAACGCCGAACCAAACAAAAATAATACTAGTGTCTCGGTTAAATTCAGGACTGTTCTTAGCGGTACCAAGGAGTGGATGTAGCCTGATCAACTACACTCTCTCCAAAGTATAACTAACACACGTCCTGATGAGATCAGGATAGCTAGGGAATCTAAAACTATACCCCTACCACCGAAAAGAGAACGCCTGTTTAGCTTGTGCAATAGCGGTAGAGTCATAGGAAAGTGATAGCTTATTCGTATACTTTCTCCCAGTCTTCATGGAGGGATAGCATCAGGACATTCAGTTTCACCAAGCCCTAGGGGCACACGGGATACTCGAAGACGAACCAGAGGGGAATCAAGAGGGAGTCCACGGCGTTGAACCTGACGAGTACATGGACACCGACTACGAGTTCGAGGAGACCGACGATGACATGGAGGAGGATCAGGCCCCGGACATGGATCACGTCGCATCTCCTGTTAGCGAAGTGCAACAGGATCACCACGTCCCGCCAGTGAATCCCGCGAGGGAGAATCGCTCCCCAGAAGCCGAGATTGCCGACTTGCGGCAACAACTGTTCGCCATGGAAGCACGTATCGTGCAAGCAGAGCATGGGAGGGATGAGGTCATTGTAGACATGACTGAGATGGCTCAGCTGTTGGCTCAGCACTTCGGCATATGATTTCACCGTTATAGTAGGACGCAGCTCATCGCGGTTAGGGATAGACTTATCTTAGTAGGTCGTTAGGAACTATGCTATGTACCTCGACTCTATGTTTAAGTGACTACACTACTCATAGAGCCGTTATGCTGTCGAACTAGTATCACTCATGTATGCTCTTACGAGCAAAATTTTCATGTATCAAATGCAGATAATATTAATAAATTTTTACGTGTTTTGTTACGATATTACAAATTGCTATGCGTTGAGAAATTATGATTGATTGGTCAATGGTAGTAGTGTTTAAGTTCGTACCATGCACCTAGTCAGTAGGATCACGACCTCACAGAAACAACATACCCTCAACATCTTTCCGTTTTGTGACAGAAAGATGCCTCCCCGACCTACTCGCGGAAACCCAGGACCAACCCCACCTGAAGTTGACTCAGCCGCGTTCCAGGCAGCTGTATCTGCAGCAGTCACTGTAGCGATTGCGCAAATTCATCAAGGGAACAATGGAGGAGTCAATGGGCAAGGGGGCCGGAAGTTCGAACAACGGAATGAATCAAGGACCCACCAAGACATGTACCTACAAGGAATTCACAAACGCCAAACCACGAACTTTTAATGGCACTGGAGGGGTGATCACTCTGAAGTGATGGATCAAAAAGGTGGAGTCGGTATTCGAGATATGCGACTGCCCTGAGCACATGAAGGTGAAGTTCGCAGCCTGCACTTTTGTGGATCAAGTGCTCACCTGGTGGAACGGACATGTAGAATCCATGACACTCCCTGTAGCCAACTCTATGCCATGGGCAGAGATGAAAGAAATGTTAATGGCTGAGTACTGCCCACGAGGCGAAATACAGAAGATGGAGCAAGAGCTATGGAACCTCACTGTGCAGAATGCGAATATCGATGCCTACATATCGAGATTTAGCGAACTATCTCTGCTGTGCCCGGGTATGATCACCTCGGAAGGAAAGAAGATTGAGCGATTCATCTGGGGACTAACATCACCAATTCAAGGGAATGTGATAGCTGCAAACCCCGAAACATTTGACATTGCAAAAAGATTGGCAAAGAAGCTGTATGACCATAACAACAAGAAGGGAGAGAAGCCAGTGGAGACTGAGAAGACGAAGGAAGGTGATGGCAAGAAGGGAAAGAACAATAAGAGGAAGGGGCGCCAGGGCCCCGACACCTCCAAGAAGCAGCAGACAGTGGTGGTTAATGCTGTTACCGCACCGGTTCCATCCGCACCACATGCTCCAACCTCAGCCACTTCAAATGCTTCCAGACCTTATTCCGGTAATCTTCCCAAATGCAACAAGTGCGGGTTCCATCACAATGGAGAATGCAAGGATTTTCAGTGCACCAGTTGCAACCGAAGGGGACACACTGCAAAGTACTGCAAGACTTACCCTCCCCGAAACCAAAATCAGGGAACCAACAACAACAACCATCGCAGCAACAACAACATCAATGGCGGCAATAACGCAGGGCCTAGCCACACCTGCTTCGGGTGTGGGAGGACTGGACACATCCGCCGAGACTGTCCTAACAACAACAATTTAAGAAATGGAGGAACAGGAAGGATGTTGACCATGGGTCAGGGTGAGGCTATTCAAGACCCCTCTGTTGTTACCGGTACGTTTCCCTTAAACCACACTTATGCATGCATCTTATTTGACACCGGAGCGGAGCGAAGTTTCGTAAGCAATAAGTTTAAGCATTTATTAAAACAACTGCCCCAAAAGCTAAATGAAACCTATACGGTGGAAATGGCCAATGGGAAAACCGAATCCACTGGGGAAATCTACACCGGATGTACCCTAACCCTTAATCAACACCCTAATGCAGTGTCAATTAGAAGTTCGATGTGATCATCGGCATGGACTGGTTAAGCCCCCACCATGCTGAAATTATGTGCCACGAGAAGGCCGTTCGTCTTCGTCTTCCAAATCACGAAACCCTAGTAATTTACGGAGACAAATCTAGCATGAACCTTCGCCTCGTTTCGTGCATCAAGGCACAAAAATATCTACGAAGGAACAATCTGGCGTTCCTGGCTCACGTGGTGGATAAAACCAAGGAGGAGATTAACGTTCGAGACATTCCCGTAGCGTGTGAATTTCCGGACGTGTTTCCTGAAGATCTTCCGGGAGTACCCCCAGAGAGACAGGTTGAGTTTCGAATCGACCTCATTCCAGGAGCAACTCCTCTCGCTAAATCACCCTACCGGCTAGCTCCTGCCGAGATGCAGGAATTATCCAGCCAACTCAGCGAACTTTTGGACAAGGGATTTATTCGACCTAGTTACTCGCCATGGGGAGCTCCGGTGCTCTTTGTCAAAAAGAAGGACGGATCTTTTAGAATGTGCATCGATTACAGAGAGTTAAATAAACTCACAATCAAGAACCGCTACCCACTCCCACGAATCGATGACCTATTTGACCAGCTCCAAGGAGCTAGTTATTTTTCTAAAATAGATCTACGGTCCGGATACCACCAACTCAAAGTCCGGGAAGAGGATATTCCAAAAACCGCTTTCCGAACTCGCTACGGACATTATGA